AATACTTCAAACTTTCCAATGATATAAGAGCTTTTCTCTCGTAAATATCTAAGAAGATTGACAGAATTTTGTAGAATAAATATATAGCTTTTGATTGGTCATAAAGTTATAGGTATAAAAAAGCAGGCATAGATAAACAAATCTTCTTAAGTGATGAAGTGGTGGGTGGAGCAAATATGGTGGACTCAATAAATATTATGATATCTCAGCAAATATAAAAGGTAAAGGAGGTTCCTATTTTATATTCTAGCTTGCTAATATCGAACTTTTGAGTTCCTAATTCATACAAAACTATAGATGTTATATTGTAGGCATCATAAAATGTAATCTGACCAGACACAGAGGTCATGTACTACATGACACACAAAAAATCGAAATTTAGCCTTTTTTATATTTAGTTTCAAATTAAGAAACTAACTAATGTATAATACAAAGATTTTAATTATAATCTACAATTTGATACCATACTTATTGACATATGTTTATAAAATAATAGTTAAATAAAATGTTGAATGTAAATCTACAAATGTGATGACATGCCCTCTGACCCCTAACCGTCTCGATAGGTGATGATTTAGGGTGATAAAGTTTATTAGCTTTATATAAAAATTTGCTGTTTGAAAATGTCACAAATATGTTTATTTTGATGAACAAAAATTCAGTAGTTTTAGTATTATAGCATTGTGTAAATGTGCAAAGAAAAACCCACAGAATGCTGTTAATTGTATTTTCAGATTGTTACAGGTTTGTAATGCTTTGTTGTATACATTTTCATGTTCAAAAGCTCAGAATGACAAAACATCCTAGTCATAAGTTATTGTACCTGAAGACAGGATTTCTTCTAGCTTTCATATATTTTAGCACAAAATTTTAAGGCAATTTTATATGTTAAGTCTAAGTATTTAAACAATTTTAACTCAAAAATATTTTAAATAAATTATCACATATTAATAGAGTAAGTATATAGGTCTAAGAGGTTTTTTCACAGTTTCTGTAAATGTTCCTTTCATTGTGAATTGTGAAAGTATTTGTGTAATCAAATATAATCACGTAATGAGCCCATCAACTGATCAATTAACAAACACCACTAATCACCCAGCTCTAGTGCAGATTAGAGCTGAGTGATTAATGGTATTTGCTAATCAATTAATTCAAAGCCCCATTAATTGATTACTTGATTAGTATAGTGTTTACTAAACTACAATATGTACAAACAAACAAAGAAAAAAAAGAGGTTGGCAGCATGTACCAGCCAGTTGAATTCACTATAGCCAGCAGTTCCAAATTAATTGTAATGGCAGATAGCCTTCTGATCTTTGCCATGAAAAAAGACAGGATGAGCAAGTTTGATAATAGTGGGAACCAAACCCGAGACCCTCAAATCATGATATCCATCCTCCCTCCCACTCCCAAGTTACTTAAGCTAAACAGACTTGAAGTAAAAAAAAACTTATAAGGCTAAAATTGAACAAAGCACAAATAGCCCATTGTGTAGCTTCATGGTTAACGAACAAATGTAATACCAATATTTCAATTACTTGGATAGTTGGAAAAAATAATAATAATTAAAAATCCTTGTTTTGATTAGTTGATTATTTTCGTGACAATCAATTTAATCAAACTTATTATCAATTGTCGAAATGACTGAAAAAAGTATAAATCAGAAGCACTAATATTGAATAATCAATTTAATCGTAATTTTGATTAATAGCATAGTTTACATGACACTAATCAGTGTAATCATAGTTAATTCATTACATAGATTAATTGATCACATTGTTCAGCTCAAGTGAGGTGTTAGATGGAGAAACAGACTGTAATATGCAAGCATGTTTCAAGCACAATACTTATATTCCTCATGATCGTGCAAGAGAAAAAATATTGTTTTCACAGCAAATAAATGAATTAGTTATTTTCATCAGAATTTAAGAATTGCCAGAGAATTATACTAAGAAATGCAAGTTGTATAACTATATCCAATCATTTCCTTAGGTTTTTCTTTTAACACACATCAAAGAAATCATTACCGAAGAAATAAAAATACAAAATATTAGGTCAAACTACAATGTGGCATATGTACTCAAAAACAACATCATCCTCCAGATAGGACTGCACAGAACCTGGAGCTCAATGTCAACCTCCAGGACCCACCATGTGGAAGTGTATTCCTCTGTAAAATATGTGCAACCATACCCTCCTGATAGAAAAACCCAGAAGCTGAATGCAGTATCAACCTCTGAAATCTACCACACAGAGGTGAAGCATATGTTTGAA